AGGTGCAATGTCAATATGCCAAATGAAAGCCCTGGCTTCAAAATTGAACTATTTAGTCTTAGGAGGGCAAAATAACAAAAAGCACTGATTCTAAGCCAAAGCGAACTCTTACTTTTCAAACTTCATGGATAAACTAACGCATGGAGGAAACAATGCCTGACTGTTTCAGTTGGTCAAAGTTGATTAACAACAGCCAGTGAAGATCATCCTGAGTAACAGTAAAAGAATTCAGTATTTTTGTAAAAATAGAAATAAAAATCCATAGACAGTTATTAAAGATAAACAATGCTGCCAATGTTATTTCAAGCTAACCATAGGAAGTCATAGTGTCCTATTTCAAGCTAACAGTAGGAAATCATAGGTATCGAAAGTTGGCAAATAACAAAATGTAAAAGCATGATATCACAACATAAAGTCCATGATTTTAGTAATTGTACCTAGCAACGGGATGCAGTATTAAAGGCTGACTTTTGCATTGTGACACAAATTTCATTATTTTTCCATTATACAATTTGCACTGGATGCCTATATGGTAAGGGTTTGGGTTTTCTCAATGCTAAGCCTGTAAAACTGCAGTTCTGCAAGGAAGAACTTTATCTTTAGAAGTCAGCTTCGACTTCCAATGCCTTCTACAAAACATCATTTACAGTGGATTTTCTTTTAGTAATGTTGGTTATACCTAACTTGTAACTCAGTGAGGAAAGGATACATTGTGAGAACTTATGGCTACCTTTGCTTTTTAAAACCAAAACTTATGAAATACATGCAATCCAGAAAGAATGCTTCAGACATTTCTCTTGTTAGCTTTTCCATTAAATAACATAAAATGTTATGTTGTGTTTGCTTCTTTTTGGAGGAAGGAACAGAGCAAACTTCAAAAGAGTTATTTATCTCCCTCATACTATTTTAAATCAAGATGTAAATAATTGGTTACTTTGGTTAAATGTTTTGTTGATCATAAGAATCTTCACTTGCTACTTCATTACTAGTAAACTAAAATATTGTTGCTTATAAAAGACAATCTTCTTACTTAAAATAAAATTAGGCAGTAGCTATTTAGTCAGATATCAGAGCTCTTGGACTAAAACAGTATCACAGCTAATTAGGAATAAGAGAAACTTCAGTGTGCTGTGCCACAAATTAAAACAAGGTTAGCTTCCAACTCTCCGATTTCTGTCATAAGGCTGTTCTATAAAGCCTAGCTAAATAGTGAGGCACCATAGCAGCCTGAAATCATCAAGCAAGGAAGAAAGTGAACAAAATAGATTTCCTCACCAGGGGGAAAGTGCCAGCCTTGAAGCCGCAGTATTAATACTATAAGGTTATCTTCCCCATAAACGTATTTATACCAAGGATGAATTAAAGTAAATCATTCAGAAACCATGTAATAAATCGGCCATGTCTCAAGGGAAATCTGCAACTCTATGAATTTTCCACAACTACCCAGAACTTTAGGCTTATATTCCTATATCCGTGATAGCAATAGCAGTAGACTTATATACCGCTTCATAGGCCTTTCAGGCCTCTCTAAGCGGTTTACAGAGAGTCAGCATATTGCCCCCAACAATCTGGGTCCTCATTTTACCCACCTCGGAAGGATGGAAGGCTGAGTCAACCCTGAGCCGGTGAGATTTGAACCGCTGACCTGCTGATCTAGCAGTAGCCTGCAGTGCTGCATTTAACCACTGCGCCACCTTGGCTCGTGATGGGGAACCTATGGCACAAATGCCACAGGGGGCACACGGAGCCCTCTCTGCGGGCACGCGAGCCATCACCCAGCTCAGCTCCACTGTGCATGTGCACACATGCCTCCTGCCGGCCAGCTGTTCAGGTCTCTGCCACACATGTGGGAGACGTGTGTGCATGCGTGGTGGGAGTGCGGGGGTGCAGCACTCCCCCGTGCCCCATTTTTGGTGCCAGAAGGCTTCAGGGAGATCTGCTAGGCCCAAAGGAGCATGGGGGGGGTCATGTGCATGCACATGGGGTGGGGGCGTGTGTGTATGGGTTTAACGCATGCATAGGGGTTACATGTGTATGCACAGAAGGTGGGGGAGCGCAAGGGGATTGCACATATGCACAGGATGGTCACGTGCATGTGCAAGGGGTGGGGGGAGCGTGAAGGGCATTGCATTATGGGTGTGGGCATGCCCATGCATGCTGTCATGCATGCACATGTGCTTTGGCATACAAGGATAAAAAGGTTAGCCATCATTTCCCTATAGCTTCCAAGCAGAGTGAGAATCACAGTCATAGATGGGAATCTTGCCCAGTGAATCCTAACCCTGATTAAAGCATCTCAGATAGACAGTTGTCTAGTGTCAACTTCAACACAGACAATAAAAGGGACACACCAGTTTGATGGTAAATGGTTCCACTGTTGAATGCTCACACTGCTAGGGAAAAAATCCTAACGTCCAATCACAAACCATTCTCCTTCAGTTTAAATCTATTATTCCATTACCTGGGCTCTGAAACAAAACTGAAATGGTCTTGACCTTTTCTGTATGACATCCTCTTAGGTATTTAAAAAGTGCTATCTGAATCATCTTTTCTCAAGGCTAAGCATTACCAGATCCTCCAGTCTCATTTAATTTCATAGAATGTGGGTAAGCCGAAAAAGATGTGTCCTTTTGTAAATCTGTCAGATGAACCTGAAGCTCCAAAGGTGATGGTGCCATAATAACTTTTATTTTCTGTTACCCTGAAAGGAGAATAGATTACTAGACCCAAGGACTTTGCATATCCCAATTCTGCCTTCCTTCCTTCCTCTGGGAGTAAAGCCAAGAAAAATGAAAGGATGCAAAGATCAGAAAATGTACACGCAATCAGAAGATACTGATGATCTTCTCACATCTTCCTCCTCATATTTTGCTACTATTTTAGATTACTTCTTCATTTTTCTAGAGAAAAATAACAGGATCCCCACATGGAGCTGTTTAACTATGTTTATTTGTTTCAATAAATAGCTAAGGAAATTGTTTAAAAATGAAATGCCATTTTTAATTATTAAGTTAATATGATTCATAGTATGAGAATTGCTTCAAATCACTTTGACAAACATAGTTAGAGGGGTGTTGGGTGCACTATTAGAAGACCAGAAAAGTCAGGCTAAAACAGATCATCATGGAGAAAATCAATCTATGTTGTCACTAAAATTCAACACTGACCTGATGGCACATAATCAATCAATCAATTAAACAAACAAACAAACAAAAAACTAACCATATCACATAATGATTATAGACAACTATTCCAGCATAGGAATAATATATAAGCACAGGGAGTATAACGTCTCCAAACATTTACCAGCAGTGAAACAATTGTGTAAAATTGGTTAAAATATTTTAGTGTATTTTCGTCATAAAAATGAAAAAAGATCCTTAGACCTTCTGAGCATCTGGTGGGATGGTTTTTAACTGTTTCTTCAATAAAATATAGAAAAAAATATTAAATTGTGTGATTTTTATGTCTTAAAAATATTATAAAAATAAGTATTATTATGGTTGGTCACACAGTTAGCCAGATGTTTAGACTGGAGTTGGCATTTTTACCCACTTAGCAAATCTATCCTGAGGGCCAGGTATAGGCAGAAGTTGTTGTTTGATGTTGCACATTGGTTTTGTAGCAGGATGCAAGCTGATCTGCTGTATAAAGCTTCCATTTGCAAATTGACTAATGGTGATTTTGTCAATGCCAATAGTGTTCAGGTGATATTCCAGAAATTTTTGGATTGCACCCAAGGCACCTATTACTATTGATACTAATTTTGCTTGCTTTTGCCTCTATAGTTCTACTTTTATTTGCAGGTGTTTGCATTTTGTGATTTTTCTCCAGGTTTTCCTCTTCTATTCTGATGCCTCCAAATACTGTAAAGTCCACTATACACTATACTTTTTGCCTTTCTTATAAACACATACTACACCTGGGATGTTATGGGGCAAGTGTCTGTTTGTTTTCTAAAGTCCAAGAGCATTTTAGCTCCTCCTCCTCCTCCTCCTCCTCCTCCTCCTCTAGCAAGCTCCTTGAATTCATGATCAGACCATGTAAACACTTTGAAAACGGTGCCTCAAATATTTATTCTTTTTAAATTACTAAATGGCTAGGTTAACACAACACTGAATTGTAAATGGTATAAGAAGATGCAATTGTGTTCATATAATTTGTAACTAACAAATCTATAGCAGCTTAATGTGATATAATGAATCTCTACAACATTCTGAATCAGAACCTATCCAATGTTCTACTTAATAGAAATAGCATTCATTAATTTGTCCCTTTGAAGTATAAAACAAGACATTTCATTACACTATCTGTATTGTTCTATTTATTGGACATATCTCCTGAACATACCATTCAGTTCCATACCTCTAAGCTTGATTCAGCATTTTAAAAAAAAACCAGTCTTTTTTTATTCTTATTTTCCACATTGAAAATCAACACTGTATTTATAGTTTAATACTTTTCTATTTTTTCTTTCTTTATTAAATACTTATGTGTCCCATTTCCCCTATAAGTTGATTACACCTATTCCTATAATATATTTCACCATGGGATAGCAGAGAAGACATTTGAAAGAGTTAACCTTTAAGTGACCTACTAAAGGCCAAAATTATTATCACTGAATTGTTGGTAATTTTATGAAGTATTGTGTAAATTGAGAGGGGGGTGAGAGAAAGAGAGAGAGAGAGAGCTCTCATATACATTTGAATTCTAAGGAAGTTTAAGAAGATGTTAAACAGTTACAACCTTATCAGATCTATAGTGATAGATCTTTTTTCTTTTCTACCCAACTAAAAAAATTACCAACATTTACTACTCTTTTAGCCAAAACAAGACCTATCAAAATATAATTCCAAACCAATTTAAGAATTTATTCTCCATATCAGGACACATTCTAAATAGAATAACAAATAATATTCTAACATAGCTAATGTTATCGCTTTTCTCAATATTATGCTATAATAAAGCAGTATATGACATATTATATAATTTCTACTTACAAGCAAATTGCAGTTTCGCTTCTCGGCTAACAATTGTTCCGAATGAATTTGTTGCTATGCACTGGTATGTTCCAGCATCTTGAGTTTTATTGGGATTATTGATCAACAAGCTTCCTTCAACCACACTGTAGCGGTAATCCATACCAATGTCAACAATGGTTCCATTTAACTTCCACCTATATTACAAAAGAGGTGGTAGTTTAATTTTGCTCCCTTAACTATTTTACACCACTGTTGTACCATTCTAGAACTAAATATCTTAGCACAAAAGCACATATTAAGAAATAAATTATTTATATCTACTACCTCACAGATAATGTCACTTACACTTATTTGTTTTATTTAAATCTAGATTGTTCCTTTCACATTAATGTCTAACGTCCTCTCATTAGAACATGACTTCAGCAAAAGAATAAAACACTTTTTTTCTCTTCCTACTGTGTTTCCCGGAAAATAAGAAAGGGTCTTATTTTCTTTTGACCCCCAAAATAAGTCCTTGGCCTTATTTTCAGGGAGGTCTTATTATTTTTGAGGTGCAGGAGTCGGCGAGCATGGTCACTTCACAGCTGCTGTTGTGTTGCAATATTTTGGGGAGCGCTTATTTTAGCCCATGTACTCAAAAGCCCGATTGGGCTTATTATCCAGTGAGGTCTTATTTTCGGGAAAACAGGTTAACATTTTCCCAGAAGTGCAGGATCAACTTTTTTGGGGATCTCCTGAGTGTTGATCCATTGGTTGCAACAGGAACTGCCTGATTGTCTGAGCCTGGTATTATGGGCTGACAGGCCCAAAGTCAGAAAGCTAACCTTTATTCTTGAAGCAGGACTTAAACTCATAGTCTCCTGGTTTCTATCCTGCTGTCTTAACCACTACAGCGAAATGCTGTCCTAAACACTTTAGATTCTCCTAAAAATGTGTCATTAGAACATTGCTTCAGCAACATAATAAAACACTATATAGGATCAAAATTTTGCATATAAGACACGTAAACAAGGAAAGGAAAAAAAAATGCTGATGAAGTACTCTCAATTAATCCTGGTATCTACTCCTACCAGCAGGAGCCACTAAAGTAATAGAATCTCTCTTGATTACTATAACAGAAATGAGCAAACTTTTCCTATCAACTGGAAACTTGATTCCGGTCAACTGTAAAATTCCTCAATTGGTTGGGGAAGTCTGGGCATGCTTCCAACCAATAGCTAAGCTATCATTGAACTCTTGAGATATTGTGTGAGACTGACAAAATGTCATTGAATTCCAGCATTCATAGGAGTTGCTGTCATTTCTGTGAATCTCTTATGATACTTCACAGTAGCATAAGATTTCAGATTTTATTTTACAAAAAGTAGGATTGTGTAAAAACATGGAGGCTTGATTGGCTTGGAGGCATTACTGGATACTGTAAGATATTGACAAAGTTGTTGATAAAGACAATTTACCTTATAGTTGGCTTAGGATTTCCTTTTACTTCGCAGTTCAGTTTAACTTTTTTTTCTTCAGAGTCAAGTGCAAAAATCACGCTGCTTGGTTCCTGGATAAAAACTGGTCCATGCAGTATGTTATCATCTACAATAAACAAAGTACAATAAACATTAAGATTTTATGGACTACTGCTTATTATGCAAATAAATAAAACAATTATACCAGTCAGATTTAGAAAATATTTGGGCTACAAGATTTAGGTGATCATATCTGTAGTAAAATAAAATACTGCATTTCTTATAAATCACAATTAATTCATGCTATACAAAAGGCATATTTTCATGGTAAATAGTTTGAAAGAACTCAGACATGGATTTGAGCACATCCAAAGTAAAATATAGTAAACTGACACATTCATTCTGACCTACTTGGGCACCTAAAAGACCATATGTGATTGATTCTGGAATATGAAACTTCTCTTTTTGTTTCCCAGGTATTATTGAAAAAACAAGAGCCTAGAACAAATTCTTTCTTGGTTATTTAAGCTCAAGGGAAAGAAGGAGCTGGATTTTGTTCAGGAATGGAGTCAAATGTTCCTTCTGTATCAGGGGAGAAGATATTAGGTTATAGTTATTGGTGTGTACATTGCGATCCACTGAGGACCTCTTGAGGTTTGCTGTCTAGAAGCATCCATAACAGATGGCTGAGTGTATCAGAGAAGCACAGTAATAAAAATAAATATCCCTTGCTTTTGTCAACTAGTTATAGAGGAAATGCCCAAAAGGCTGTCATAACTGGAATAAGGCAATAGTTGCAAAAATAGAAAAAAAGGGGATCCATTGAAGAAAGATTTTATATCATTTTTCTTTATAGTTTTTTTTTTCTGCAGTGAACTGAGAATCTCAGGGTAAGGTTAAGATATTATTTTTGTGTATAATAGCAACAACATGTCATTATTAGAATAGACAATTATTTTAAAAATAATATATATATATTTTGCTTTGTATACAAATATCAGGTTGTGTATCAGTTGCATGTAGCATTACAATTGGTGAGCTGTAAAAGTAATACTTATCTAATGCAGATCAAAGTTTCACTTGAAAGACATAGCAGAAACTGTTTCAAATCCGAACACCGTGAACATTTGAAGATTTAGGATTCAAAAAAATATTGGCAGTTGTGACAAAGATACTCATAACTAACATAAATAGCCAAAAAAAAGGGGGGGGGGATGAACACCATCAAATTCATTTCATGACATATTAGCAGATTAGCCATTAAAATACCACTGACACATACTCTTTTAAAAAACAACATAATTATTTTTTTAATATAGAAATAACCCATTAGTGGCTATTACTTTGTTTTAAGCAAACAAACTGCATCAACTAATGTATATGAAAAATCCTATAGCAGCTGTTAGAATAAAAGAAAAAGGAAAAAGAGGATAAATGGTAACAATGTCCAATTAGCATTATTTAATTGATTATTCTTCTCCTTTTCCCAGTCTCTCTAATTACTACCACTGTGTGTTTGAGATAACCAAGTTCATAATTTGTTTAGTCGGCAGCCCATACAGTCCTTTTGCAAGAAAAGATGGTACATTATTCTATTCATTTGGGGAGTTAAAAATCTCAGATGGTGAGAATCAGTATTAAACATAAAATCTTACACAGCATGCACCTGTTAGCCATCTGGCATGAAGAATTCAAAACATCACATATGAATGAATTATGTAAAATTGCTCTGTAGATTCCACACAAAGACAAAGAATGAGAGAAATTGCAATTTTTTTCAGTTCTTTAAAACATTAATTCATAACTAAGACATGAATACACACATATTCATGAGGGGTTTGAAATAGGAACAATTGTTAAGACCTTCACAATGTAAGATATAGAATTTTCAAGTATGACTTTTTCCTGAAGAGGAAAAAAAAGTGACATTAAAGAAAAAAAACACTGTGACATTATATTTAAAAAAAATCAAACAAATTAGTTAATTTCTTTCCCCTAGTTATTGTTAACTTGTGCATATCTCTACTTACTCCCTGCCGCTGATAAAGTGAACTGTAGCTCACTTAAGATTCTACTTATCATTGAAAAAAATACAGGTTGGTGTAGAGGTTAAGTCATCAAGTTAGAAGACTGTGAGTTCTACTCCTGCCTTAGACATGAGGCTAGCTGGGTCACCCAGTTGGCCCATTCTCTTTCTCTTAGCCCTAGGAAGCAAGCAATAGCAAACCATGATTGATTGGAAGGGTGAAAAAATAAGCTGACAATGAATATTTTTAGACTTGGGCAAAACGGAAAAGTTAATGTCCTTACATGACAGAAATATATTTCAACATGAATATGTTTAAAAAGGTAAAGGTAAAGGTCCCCTCCCCCACACATGCATGCTAGTCATTTCTGGCTCTAGAGGGAGATGCTCATCTCCGTTTCAAAGCCAAAGAGCCAACATTGTCCGATGATGTCTCCATGGTCAGGTGGCTAGCATGACTAAACACCAAAGGCACACGGAACGCTGTTACCTTCCCACCAAAGGTGGTCCCTATTTTTCTACTTGCATTTTTTATGTGCTTTCAAACTGCTAGGTTGGCAGAAGCTGGGACAAGTAACAGAAGCTCACTCCGTTACACAGCACTAGGGATTCGAACCGCTGAACTGCTGACCTTCTGATCCAACAACCCCAGCATCTTAGCCACCCAGTCCCTATAAATATGTTACGATGTAATAAAAATATATAATAACAAGACATTACCTTAAGCAATTTTCCATAACCTTTAATTCAACCCACTTTTCTTTTTGTTCAAGAACATTGTAATAGAACAAATCTTAAGCATCCAAAGGCATTTTATTTGATCCACACATCCTCACAATTAAAAAGCAAGTTGCACACTTTTATTAATTAGGTCGTTTTATTTATATGCTCACTATTGCCCAATTTTATCTTCAGCTACAGGTTAGTTTTTATAGAATTATTTCTGCAGGCACAGTAATGAAAAGTCAGATGAAACTGTTCTAATAGTGCCAGTATTTCTGTCATTCTGCTAACAAGTAATAACCACAATCATTATAAACATGTGTTTTCTAATGTGGCAGTAAAATAATATTTTTAATATACAGTATCCGATATATTTACAATACAATACTAAAAAGGAGAACAGAAGACTTGTTCCTTTTTTTTAATTTCTTCCTGAAAGTACTGTTTTCACTAATGCAAAATAATAACATTGTTTATGTTTGTCATTAGCACTGTGCAAATTAATTAATACTACTGCTACAATTAGGGGGGGAGGAGTGATTTTTCTTCCCCAGCACATGAAATTTGGATAGATGAGATGTAGCCATGACAATCAATGTTACACTCTGTTGTGAATTGCCCCCCCCCCCCCAATTTGGGTTTTGAGGGGCATTTTCTTTTTTTTTCAAAACATGCATATATGTAAATAAATAAAGATTCTTCGTGTTCCAAAGGTTTTATTTCTTTAAAAAAACACAAATATTTCATCATTCGTCAATCATTACCCCGACCCTGTGGAACGAGCTCCCCATGGAGATCCGTACCCTCACCACTATCCAGACCTTCCGCACAGCCCTCAAGATCTGGCTCTCCCAGCAGGCCTGGGGATAGGCTTCCAATTACCCGCCCGAGTGTTTGATTGCTGAATGAAAGTTGTGTTTTATTATTTTTTTTCTTTGTGCACATATTGTTTTGTTTCTGACCTGCACCCCCCTCCCCTGTGGTTGTAAGCCGCCCTGAGTCCCCTCAGGGAAAAGGGCGGCATATAAATCCCAATAAACCTCAAACCTCATCATTAAAACATTGAAGTACAATTTTTTGTATGCCCCTCCCTCCCTCCCCCCCCCCAACCCCCCTCCTCCTTCCCCCCCCCGACTTCCCAGAACCCGTACACGGTATGGATTTTTAACTAACACAGTCTAAAATCTATTGAGAAAAAAGAAATAAAGAAATTAATGACATTCTACATTGACCTTAGCTTCTTCTTGCTGAACTAACTTAATAAAGAACTTTCCATGCAGCCACTTTTACTATTCCACAAACCCTCAGAGCCCGGACTATAGGCAGTAACCATCCACAAGGCAGCTTATAAAGATGAGCAGTCAGCCTGAGGTCTCGGTGGTTGACCAAGGAACTTACAAATCAACCTCCTGCCTGCATCCCCCCTTCTCTTTCCTTGGTTTATCAATTTATTCTTGTGAGAAGGAGAAATAAAACGAAGAGAAAAAAGCAAGTCTGCTTGCAAGAGACTCTGAGCCCTGGGCAAGTCCCTGGAGGTTTCACAGCTTCAGGATGGCAGAAAAGCCACTGAGCCAGCAGGCAGGGCTGTCTGTTGGCAAGTTGTCAAGCTCCAGGGTTAAAAGAGTGCAACAGCCCAACTGGGAGAGAATCAGCAGAGACTTGCAGGGTGGGATCAGGGTCCATGCCCTCTATGGGAGATTCATTCATGGAAATATATACACTGATATTGTCAGGAAACTCACTAACTTAATTTACTGACCAACAATTTTGCAATCTAGAGCGAAATCAAAAGCATTCGAACACTTCATCTTTCTCTACACTTTTCTAGGAAGAAATAAATGAACTTTGCAGAAATGGGACATGTCCTTTGGGATCAGGATTTTGGATTCTCTGCATTTAATCTGGATCATTAAAAACGTATCTAGTTAACTTCCAGGTTACACGTAGGAGAAGACAGTAGATTCAAAAACATAAACCAAGAATAATCAGGAATAAACTGTACTGTAGAGGCAAGGGCAGGATAGGATTATCTGTCTAGATAAAGATATTGAATATGAAAAGTATTTATGTCCCTAGACAGAAATGTTTCCCATGTGATACCATTTATGTCTTAGCCCCAGAGAGTATACTGATTTCTTCTCTCTAGTGTTTTGTTGTGTTTTTACTTGCATAAAGAAAAATACCAGTGAATTTTCTGAGCTTTCACTCTTCAGTAAAAGATCTGAATTAGATCTTGAGCAAATATAGAGTAAAACCAGGTTAGTGAAGGGGAAGCAATGGATGCTATGAATGGTTTTGCCTCCAGAAGACTCAATTTTTAAAGGGTAAAAATGATTTAAAGGTAGTTTTTACTTCCCTGGCCAATCAATTGTTTTCATTAGCTATCTATCCCTCAAGTAGTATCTGGATTAAAAAGAAAGCCTCAAATTTGCACATTCAACTGACCCATTGATGCACATGTAACTGACCTACCTCTTTGTTTTGGGAGAAGTAGACATCCTGCAACAGTGAAGAGGTAGAGAAACAAGAGGTTAAGGGAAGGAGAAGATGTAAAGGTGACAAGAGCAAGTGGTGAATTGGTAGCGAAGATGGGCAGAGTGGCAGGATATAGGAAACAGATTAAAAAGATGATAAGGATAAGGAAGTTGTAATGTTTTCATTGAACCAAAGATCTAAGTATTGGATGATCCATTTGTCTCAGGCAAAGATGTCAACATTGAATAGGCAAATGGAAGATTAAAATTATAGCAGAGTTATCCTGTAGTGTTCAAATGTTCACAATAAGCAAAGAGACAGCAGCAGTCTAATGGGTTTCTTAAACTGAGTTAATGGCAGTTCAACAGGTCTAGCCAGAAATTCAATCATGTAATACATGAAAACTAAGACAAGTAAAAAAGTGAAGTCTGAAATCCATCTAAGAGACAAAGAGTGCAGACTAGAGGTGTCAAACTCGCAGCCCGTGGGCCAGTTGTGTCACATGCTGGCCACGCCTACCCCCAGTTTAGCGAAAGAGGAAAAAGCCATGACATATTATGTGACAACAATGTGACGTCGTGAGTTTGACACCCGTGGTGTAGACAGATACAGGGAATCAAACCAGAAGCAGAAAAAATATTTCCATCATCAGACAATATTTACCTTATAACATGTATTTCCCTGTGTCTTAGGCAAGCGCTGCACATTTAGGGTTGCATTAATGTGCTAGTCTTCAACCTTCAAGTCAAATGGAGGGTTCTCTACCTTGCAGAGAACCACTTTTGGACCGATCAAGCTTTGGGGTGGAATCATCACAGAAGTTAACATCCAAAAGAACAAAATTGACTGCATATCAATCTTTGTGCTCAAGGAGAGAGAATAAACCTGGTATCTATTGCATTTCAACATCATCTTGAAGAATAAAGACTGATCAATCTTGAATTGCTTTTAAAAGACACAGTAATGGTGTAGAACTGCCCTAAATCTTACATCTGAGTTATAATCCACAGAAAAAAACAGCAACATTTTGAATAATCATTTTAAAATCGGGCTTTGTATCCTTAATTGTTCTCTGGTTTTGGAATACCAGATTTATTCCCTCGTTTCAACTCTATAAATGGGGAATAACAATTAAGAATAATTTTATTATATCGTTTCTTACTGATAAAAGAACAGATACTTCTATCTATTACTAGACATATATCATTCATTATACTCTGAGATAATTGGGAGAAACTGACCTATTTTTATAACTTTCCTCCTGTCCCAGATTATACTGTATATGAATAGATTTTTTTTAAAAAAAGAAATATCCTTACAAAGCTACTCAGATCTTTCAGGATATAGAAAAAAGACACCTGCTGGAGAAAAAGCAACAAAGCCTTTGGTACATAAATCAATGGCAATGACCTATTTCTACCAGAACATATTTATGGATAATTGTTTTAAAAAGGGAAAAAAAAAAAGATTTCAGTACACTGCCACATTTTTACAAAAAATGTACTGCAGTTGTTCCTTTTACATGCTCATTATTGATGACAACGCAGTATTAACATGGAGCTCAAAACTTATTTTATTATTTCATCAAACTAAATTATCACCAACTTCAGCCCCTTAGAAAATGTGGTGCATCATATTGCATCAAACAAAACACAAAGGGTAATTTATTCGTTGTTTTTGCATGTATGTATGTATGTATGTATGTATGAATGTATGTATGTATGTATGTATGTATGACCTGGGTACTTGAGAGTCCGCCTGCTGCCAAGCACCTCCACTAGACCAATTAGATCCCAC